TCTGTGCTGATCTGTTTCTTCTCCCACCTGAGCTATTCACTGCAGCCCAGCTCCAGCATGACACAGGTCACGGACCACTACCCAGACATGGGAATGACACCTGAACTGTGTGGGAGCCACATAAGGGTAGCTGGCAGCTCCACCATCCACCTGTCTCAGGTCCTTTTCTACACAGATTAAAAATACAGTGAGTCAAATACTGGGATAGGGAGGTACTGAGGTTAATCACACAACCTTCATGTGTGCAAACACTAACACTACAGCCCTTAATTACTGGGTTATATAATTTTTTCTCCCCTTAATCCCATTGCCTCACGTGGTAGACGTGCCATCATTATCATCCTCAGACACAGCAGATATGTACATCTTGGACTCAGCAGAAAGAATACTGAATTGACCCTTCCATTTTACCACACCTCTCTGCAGGGTGTTATTTGACAAAACATAACATTGCAATGTGGAAAATTCACAGATTTATGGAAAAATACTTTTGTAAAGCTCATTCCTCCATTTTAAAATTATGAAATATAGCAACAAGAAAATACATCTTTCTAAACCACGACGACAGTATAGGAGGCCAGAGGACAGAAAATATCATGACAGAGCATTATTGCGCAATTACCTTGCAATTCAATGTCTTCCCCACTCACCACATAGGAATATGTTTAAATCAAGAACAGCACAGGGAACTTCCCCAACCCGTCACAGTCAGTGTAATGTATTATCCTATTTTTACTCTCTTTTATAAAAGGAATTATAAAAATGATTTAGAGAACTAATAATCTAGGGACAAATTTTGCTGTCAGATAAGACCTTCTTTGAAGTCTCTGGATAGTTTGGAGCCTTACAAATGAATTATGCAATAGATCTGCAAATGCATAAGATTAAAAATCTCTGCAGCCAAGTTTACTTGGAAAAAAAATATCTGTAAACTATTTCCACACCTACTAATTAACTATTTCTTTCAGAGAGCAAAAAATGAAGCACAGCAAAAATAAAAGCTTGATGTTTTTATGCTAATCCTGCCATTGATATTGGCCTATAACTCTTAAATTACTCTTCCATTTCTGCTTCATCCCTCAGATTTTTTATAATTAGTCAACATTTGTAAATTCATGAATATTATTTAACTGAACATGTAAACACCTGTTAAAGCCAAACTCTATCACTGATTTCATAAAAGAATACTTTGTAGTTACTGATATGTACAGTTACAATGGATTATTAAATAATTAAATTACATCCTTCTCCAATAAACTTGCAGCAGAGACTGATAAATGTCACAGCTACGACAAGTAGAAATACTGGGTAAGAAAGTCTGAACAACATATTTCTAGTTATACCATGAAAAACATAAATCAAACTGGATTACTTTATTAGCCTTTCTTATCATTCTTGTTTAAAATCCTGTCTATAAAGTTATACTCCAGTTTTGCAGAAACATAGATATTGAGTAGTCTTGTTGAGGCAACTGGTATATAAAGTACATGTAAGAAAGTGTTCATACGTGACTGCAGAATTGGTCCTTATTTAGGACTCCCAAATTTCTGTCTGGGATTTCTTGGACAGAAGTCTACACATCTGTGTGCCACATGCACAATGAGACTACCGTTCACAGAATGCACCAGAATTACTGTTCAGGTGACCCATGCCTGCAAATGCGACTCATTCAGCATGTGTATCAGTATCACTGGCAGCGTTCATGCCGTGAGGGATCCAAGATCCAAGGTGTGCAGGAGGCTTTACAACTACTGTATGTGCTGTACTGCTGATGTGCACATGCATCATGGAAACACCTAGGACTGCTCTGGCTGAGCTATGGAATATTCAGAGGGGAAAAAAAAAAAAAAAAAGTGGGGAAAAAAGTCTAAAGCACTTCAGATCACATCTGGAACAAATTCCCAGCAGAGATGGAGGAACAGTGAAGAAACCCAGATTTACAGTAGCTCTACGAAGAGGCAGAACTGGCTTTAGGCATAAGCCATGTGGGAAATTACCTAGGGCAGCAGATTGATGGTGACAAGATAAAAATAAAGAGGTTGTTCAGTTAATCAGGGCCACACTTTTAGGTCCACGCCTACACCAGCCTCACCACCTCCCTTGCCTTCCAGCATCCTCTTTCTCTCATGGCTGTGCAAGTAAAACCAAGTGAACAGTTGCAGAGTAATGGGCAGGAAACAAGCAGCTTGTGCTCTCACTTTGTCCCAGCTTTTCATCAGCTCTGAGCTGGAAGACAGGAGCATTTTAAAGGCAACCAGCTCCTTTAGAAACAGGGATGAAGACAGAGCAGAGGAGAGCTGGAAACTACCCCTACAGCATCTCGCTTTCCTTCCTTACTTCCCCAGAACTCATGTTGACAGCAGCAAAGGGATGTGAACTGCCTTGCTGGGCACAGAAAACAGCCACAACTGTTCACCACAAGAACAAGGAAATTAGCTTGGTTTTGGTATCCTGAATCACTTGAGAAGAATAGTGCCTGACAAACCACTCCTAAATATTTTTAAAATTTTTTTTTTCCACATCCAGGTTTTGCCTATATTGTGGAAAAGTCTTGAACCAGCCATTCTTACACCATTAGTTTAATTTTGACTGGCTAATTTTGCCCTGAAGTGGTTTAGGAGCTCTGATTATGGTCTGCTTGGCTGGTTATGGAAGCAGTTATCTTCAGTCAAAAGACAATAACAAACATAGGTGTGTAAATATACTGAAAGTAGAGAAACAGTTTATACAATGATATGGGCTAAGATATCTTAGTCCTGAGCATGTTAGACTTAGTTGCAAATATTTGGCACTGTAAAAATAATAAAGACTGATGAAGCAGAAACACAATACAGGTGGGACAGCACTTTATGAACTCACTCCTACAAACTGTTTAGTGGTTTCCACAGATGTTCAGTTCCTTGAATAATCCCTATTAATCCTTATTGCATACCAATACGTTGTGCTAGTGCGTTTGGCTGCCAAGCTGCAAAAGCTTTAAAGATGATGCCCATCCGTAGCAGCAGTGGAAGATTACAGGTAATATCAAGGCAATCAGGTGAATCGAGGATATCAGGTAAGACTTTCAGGTAATATCAAGGTGAAAGAAATTGATCCATCTCTTAACACTCTGAATATAAGCGACCAGATCAAGGAAATAACTCCTGCATAGCTCCTTGCTACTACTGGTATAATCCTATGATCATACCAGAATAAAGACGTTCATAAGGAATAGAACTTAATTTTCCTTTCTCATGGCTAATCAATCATGGAATACTTCCCTGAACAGCCATTGCATGAGTTTTTTTCCATGCAGATTCACCAATGACAGAATCATCAATGACTTGGTGCTAGTTCACCAATGCAGACAATTATTTATTCAGCAAATGTAGTACTTGATCCATTCATTCTTTATGATGGTAACAGCTAGTTATGGGTGACACCCATCTGCTTTCCTCGGTATACAACAATCCGTTGCCCACATTTTCCCAGTGGTTCTGCTTTGCTGCCTGTTATGTCAATCAACAGCTAGTGCCAGACTCTGAATAATCAGATTAGAAACATCTCTGATGACTAGTGCCCTTTATGCCATTTTCTGCATTTTGATACTGTTCCATTTTTGTTCAGAACAGTAAAAGGTCACCAGACATGATATCCCATTTGGTCATTTCGGCTGGTACTGAAGCAACATCTTTTTTTTAGCATCTCTGTGGATAACTCCTTGAAGCATCTTTTGATTTGTGCAAGTATGTCAATTATACTCTCTATACATGCAAGACCAATGAGTCTGATTTCTGGATTAATTAAAATAATTTTTTAGCTTTAATTTTAGCAGGCATGCGGCACTTCCAGGGAACATTTCACCATGTTTCAGGGTGACATATTTATTACAAAAGCTGGCTGTACAAATAAGGGATGTTAGACTCAGAAAAAATTCCAAAGGGACTGAGACAAACCAGGACAAAACCTCAATTTCAGTATGAGTCAGCTAAATGCTGAGGCAGTTCCACAAAGCTTGGGCATCTGATTTCCCTTCTGGTGGAAAGATAATTTTAGACTGATGTGTCAAGTTAGTGCTTTAAGTGAGTTATATCCTGTGTAAGAAGAACCACATGACTTGTTATAAATCCATTTGAATGTTAAAAATTTGGAGTAAAAGGGCAAAACTACATGTAAATCCAGTGGGACAGGATTTCACCTGTTATTCATGTAAAAATGATAATGAGAGTAAGAATGCTAATGAAAAAAACCCAAAACAACAAAACCAACAAATAAATTCCAAAACCACAACAGCTCAGGTAAAGAGTCCCTTTGAAAGAACTCCCACACAACCCTGCAGTGCAATTCAGTCCTGATGAGCAAGTCAGCTGTGACACACTTTGCTTTTTGCATCCATAGGTAGAGTTATGGACAGACCATGGGCTGATTTAAATCAGCATGGCTCTGACGACTTCAAAGGAATTATTCCAACATGATTAAACACACACACCCCTCACTATTGTAACCTAATAAGGACTTTATTCCAGGTTTACAAGGAATTCCAGAACACAACCTTTAGCAGCTTAAAAGTCGGGTACACTAGTAAGGACTCATTCATTTTCTAAATATAGATTAATTTATAAAAGCAAAATATATCTTATGTTATTGATGTCTCATTTCTGATGTTATGATTTAATTTGATGATCTTCAATGAAATTGTCAAACATTCTGAAGTTGACTTTCCACCACTCCTCTTGGAACATTCAGTATGACTAAAGTATAATAATGACTTGAAACCCTAGCTTGTGAAAGCCCAGTTTCTGCAAAATTATGAAGAGGATATTTGAACAGAAGGAGACAGTTCAGATAAGAGAACTGTACATTTGAAAGCACTAACCGTGCATGGCCCAAATTTTCTGCAAATTTAACACCACTTATGAACAGAGGTCAGAAGTATTATTTCAACACATTGCAAAGCTTCTGGTAAGAAACAGATGTAAATAAAGAAGTTCACGGGCTTCTCCTGACTAATTGCTACTCACCAGATATCTCCTCTAGGCACTGTTTGGCAGTCTTACTGAACGACAAATCCATTTTAGTAGGACTGGTGCAGGAGTCAGCATGTGGTAAAGAGGTACTGTCATTTTCTGAGAGAGTTCTGAAATCAAGAAAGTATATTGATTATTATTGTCTGTCATTCATGTATTAATGGAAACAAATGTTTATTTCCAGCTCTTGTATCACTATATGGTGAAAAAAACCCACAAATGTCACATTCTTACTGTGTTAGTTTGAATTCAGCTACACAAATATGGAAGGAACTAGGAATTCCCTCTCTCTCTCTCTCTCTCTCTCTATCTCTATCTCTCTATCTCTCTCTCTGCAGGAACAACTCAGAGCTAATGCCAGGATATTTGGAGCCATTTTGTTTCCTTGCTTTTTCTCTGCAAGAGGTGTTAAACAGATATAGGCAGAATCCATTTAAACTGGTTTAATTCACAGCCCTGCACATACATAAGGGAAATGAAGACTTGTAATTGCTGAAATATTAAGCAAGAAAGGCCATGTGGGAAGAAGCTTATGCAAGGCTGGAATGGAAATCTGGCCCAGATATTTAAATCTATGTGCAAATTCTTTTGATAATGGCCCTTATATAACTCTGGGGAAATGGGATAATACAAGTTTTTCCATTAACTTGCTAATAAACAGCCCATTTTTTCTTTGATGGTATATTTCTGTGGATATCATTGAAAAATTATAATGGGTACCCTTTGTTGAATATAATTATTTGCTGTTGCATAATGGTAAATAGCAAATAATACACAAACACATGGGTTATAATACAAAATAGATCACATGATTACTGTCTCTTCTTAAGGAACAGCTGTAGCATCTAGTTTACACAGGAAATGTTGAACTACGATGCTATTAAGTAACAACATGTACCCCATTTGTATACAGTAAAAGCATGTATCTAAAGATATACTAGCTACTTTCTGAAATAAAGTTTTAAAAAGTCTTCACTTAGAGCTTAAGTTCTTCCAGCTTTTCTGACATGAATAGCACAGTCTTTTTATTTCTTAAAAGACCAGTGAAATATTTATAGCCTAATTTTAAAATGTTACATTTATAGTTTAGTTCTCAAAATTCACCATAAAGTGTTTCCAATGACGAAGTAAACTGTAAGCACATTTAACGGTGTTATGAATGTGCATTTTATAAATATAGATGATAAAAGCAGTGACTTATCTTTCAAAATAACTTTATAGCAATTTATTTTATGAAATAACTTTCCAGTTAACATTTTCTTCAAAGTTACTTTAATGAATGGATTTGTTCAGTAATTCATGACAGTAACTGAGGGAGCAGATATGTGCACGTATAATGGCACAAGTACTGTTGTCGTGGAATCTGTTGATTAGAATCATTTAACTCTGATTCTACTTACACAGAATAGAAGCATAAATGACGAATGATCTGATGCACTGTCTTATCAATTTCTGTACTTTTGGGATGCTGCGAATGGACAACTACTCTATGAAAACCAATTTTTGGTTCTCATCTACTATTTCTCTCTGTCACACACCATGGGAAACACAAGCTTAGTCATGTTGCAACGTTAACTATATTCTACCGACCTTGAATGTAATTTTACATTTGGTGCTTGAGGTCAGTGTCTTAAAAAGCCCATTCTATCCCTCCCCAGTGAACACAGACCAAAATTCCACAGTCCCACCTGCTTGCTGATATTGCTTCAAATCATCAAAATAAAGGAGGCGTATGTCTATTTGCACCAAAAGCCACTCTGAGAGGCCATGAATGCTCATGAGTACTCCTGTCTGGGTTTAGTGCTGAGATTTTGGGCTGAATCAGTTCAGGGCAAACTGTCAGCCCAAACACACATCTCAGAAAAAGACACTTTCAATAATGGCGAAGGTAACTAAATTGGTCTGCACTATTTTTGTTAAACCCAAATCATTGAGCTTCTGGGGCTGGAGCCAGAGCGAGGCTAGGGTTTAAGAGGAACACTGGAAAAGAGTAGGTTGCTTTTGGTCTTGTAGGAAGAGCACCCAGCTAGGTGGGTGCAGTTCAAGTATCCCTAGCACTCTCCACAAAATGTATATGGAGTTTACATCAGTCCATCTATGGTTAGAAACAAAAAGAGAAACTTGTTGCCTGTTCTCATTCTAACCTTATGGCATTGCATTCCTGATTGTAAAACTGTTTGACCATCAATAACTGCATCAAGCCAGAAGGGTGATGCAAACCCTTTCCTGAGCTACAAAGAGCTTTCTATGTAAGCTGTCTTCTAAGAGATAGGAAGGATCCATTCCTGTTTAACTGAACATCTATCATCAGAAAAGGATTAAGTGATCTGGACACCCATCAGTCACCAATATCCAATATTTTCACTGATTCTTCATCTAGTGAGTGAGGATAGATAAAACAGAACTTTGGTGATCTAGATTGCCCTTTGGCAGGGACTATTGCTTATAAAGTCAACACAGATGAATACATATCTCATTACTGACTGTATGGGAACATAGTTTTGTGTTAAAAAGACTGTATCTCCCTCCAAGAGTACAAAGACGTAATAAGTGACTTACAATGACTAAGTAAACTTCAGCATGATGAGTGAAACTGTTTACTTAAAATAAAAATGAATATAATTTTTCACCTGTTCACAACTTTGCTTGCACAAGCCACATCAAAACTTTTAGAGGTATACCAAATACCAATTAAAGTACATTTCAGTTCTTCAGTATTTGATTGGGTTTTGTTTTTTTTGTGTTTTTTTTTTTTTCATTTTCAAAACCTGATGTAGATATAACCAGGAAGATTAAGTTGAAAAACAGTGTGAGAAGAGATATTTGCAAATATTTCCATTACAGATTTTAGAATCTGATCTGTGGGATTAATTGCAGAACAAAATCCAGTTTCTGGGAGATAAGATGGCACTAGAATCTAAGCCTTAAAGTAAAAAAATACTGAATAGCAAAGGTCATATAAGGCTAACAATTTACAAATGTTTGATTTAATTTGTAGAAAGCAAGCCTTGGAAACACCAACCAAATGTAAGTATGATATTGTTTTCTTAAATTTATAGGCAGCCTGAACTAACAGATCTAAGAAGCATGAAATGACCCTTTTATCTTACTTGAAACCTGAAAGTTTAAATATAATGTAAATAAATGTGATTTTTCTATCAAAACAAATAACTAAGGAACTTCTATACTGATTTGATTCAGAATTTTTATGTTTAATTTGGTAAAAACCATAAATTATTCTAATTATCTGAGGCGACAACAGAAGTCCAACAGAGGACTATGGCTTTTGCAGCAGTCTAAATTCTGCTTACTTGAGTAAACTGGCTATTTAATATGGAAATGATGGGCCAAAAAGCACCTGCTCAGCCACTGGACCACTGAAATGCCCCAAGGAGGAACCTGGGGATGGGAATCTCATCAATAGCTCTTCTTTCACCAGTTCTCCACTGGGTTGCCAGTTGCCAGCAAGCACTTCCACAGCAGCCCTGCCTTTTGGTCCATGATTGCCAAGGCCTTTCTTTTTTCTGGACTCGAGCTCAGCCCAGATGGGCTGAGAATGATCTAGGGGTGAACTACTTCCATGCAAAATCATGTAGTAGCTTCAGCTCTTGGGTAGCAAGGAGGTCCACATATAGACTGGCTGCCTAAAACAGCAAGTTACTTTGCTCTAGGCCTGTAACAGGTTATGATACATTGGACCAAGCATGTAGATGCCTCTTTGCTTAGCTCAACAATCCCAATTTAAAAAAAAAGGAAGTTGAAACTGTGAGATGGCTTCCTCTATACATCTGGCTTTTACTTCTTTCTGTGGGACATATTAATCCTGTGAATGAATCAAGTGATTTCTACAGGACTGCAGCACAGATTAAGCTTGAGGAAAGCAAACAGCAAATTAAGAGATCTTCTCATTAACCTTACACATTGGCTTTAATGAATGGCCAGCTATCCTCTAACCACTCACAGCCCACTGCCTTAAAAAAAAATTAATTCTCACATGTCTCCTGATATCAAGGAAAGTGAAAAGAATTTCAGTTTAGTCAAAGCAACCTTGTTGATATTTCTTCCAGTGCTGTGCATCTGCAGCACAGGTTAATTTGGGCAACCATCATGAAAACAGGACAATCTGTTTTCTATTTTAATCATGGCAATTAGAGAATATATTTATCCCCAACTCACTGAGTTCCATGTTACCTATTTGTAAGAGCATCAAACTCTCTTAATGGGACAAATTCTGCTCTCAATCACACCTGCACAAGCTCATTCAGTTTGATTAAAATGAGCCTGTACAGGAGTAATTAAGAACAGAACTTGGATCACTACTTAATCAGCTGTCTTTAATGCAGTCAGTCATTTCCCATCTCTAACAAAATAGCCATCTTTTGACAAACACAGATAACATCAAAGATTTGTTTGTTTTTTACTCCACATTCCAGAAGTTATCAGATGAATACGCTGGGGGTTTTTCCAACATCTGTCTGAGATGCAATTGTCTTGAATGTGTATCACTGTCAGTGTAACAGACTGGCAGGACCACATCTGGAACATGAGCAGTTTGATCACTCATGTTCAAGACATGCGAGTTAAATTGGAAACAGCTGCAGGGAAGGCCTACTAGGATGCTCGTGCGGGAGAAGAAACCCTTCTGAAAGGAAAGAGACAATTTGGTTTAAGAGACAGATGGTTTAGCCTTGCAAAACAGAAGGAAGGGAATGGGATTATTTGCTCACATACTTAAAAAGAATGATCAAAAATAGGGGAAAAAAATTAAGTTAAAGCGCAATATTAACAAAGAAATGAATGCAAACTCATCATGTGGGCAAGCAATTTTTAACATTGAGATGTGTGAGTTTCTGGAGGAACCCTCCCACTGGTTTATTTATTTAAAATAAAATTTAGTTGGTTTATGAAGGGGTTACTATGACTATCAGTGATAGAAAACTGTACAGAATATCTTTTTGCTCCTTTATCCTACATTTTACTGATTATTTAGTCAAAGGAATAAAGCCACAGTTGTCTGTACAGAAATTTAAAAGAGTAACTTCAGATCATAAACAGCGAGCAACTGAATTACCAAGCTACTGTTTTAACTCAGCATTAATCAAGTATGTGCTTATAATGATTTCTACACATTATCCTTCCACCATTCTCTTAAGCCAAGGGAAGGATTTTTCTAAACACTGTGTTTTTGTTGCAAGTAAAACTGGTGAGTGGCAATGTCTAGTGCTACCTATAATTGCAAAATTTTGGTGGTGACTGTTTTATTTTCACAACAGTGATGCAAATGACAGAAATCAATAAAGCACTGCAGTATAACTTTGCATCATCATATATTTAAAGAAAGGGTTGCGGTACGTTCAATAGGACAATCTATTATTAACAAACACAACTATCTGATAGAATGTCTTTTATTGAAAACTTAATTTTAGCTCCATGATCAGTGACCAGCAGTAGCTTCTAGTCATTTAAACTAGACATAAATATGGCTTCAACAAGCCCTGCAGATAACTGTGTTTGCAAGATCCTTGAAAGGTAGTTTAATCTTTTCCCTAAACCAGTGTAAAAACATTCTGAACAGGCACAGGAATTGTATTTCACTGCGCCGCCAGAGGTGCTACCGGATTACGTCTGCCTTCCCATCTGTCAGTGCTCTGCACTTCCCATGCACCCTTGAAGCTATGCTCTAGTAATAGAATTGTTTCAGTCACCATATAGGAAAGGAGATAGAAATATTTTAGTACCCAGTAACATGTTTATTTATTGTACTGATATTTCCTTTCCTTGCCTCTATCTAGTGAACACTGTAGTCTTCACAGAATCATAAAGTAATTTAGAACAGAAAGATGTTTTAGATGCCATCTGGTCCAATGGCCTGCTCAGAGCAGGTCTGGTTACATTATGTTGCTCAGGGCCTTGTTTGCTTGGGTCTTGAACACATCTGAGGACAAAGCTTCCACAATCTCTCTGGGCAGCCTTCTCCAGTGTTTCACCACCCTCAGAATAAAAATATTTTTTCTAAGTTTTAATCAGTATCTCCCCTGCTGTATCTTGCATCTGTTACTTCTTATCCTTTCACCCTGCATTTCAGAGAAGAGGCTGGCCCCATCTACTCTACACTGACCTATTAGGGAGATGAAGTCACCAGTTTCTTATCCTTCAGAGACAAAAGAAGTGCCAAAATGTTTTTTTGTAGTCCAGTATTGACACTGAAAGAGTATCTCTGCAAGGTCTCAATTCTGACAGTGCTGAAACTTCTTCCAGATGTCACAATCATTAAACTACAAATTTAGCTGAAAAAATGAAATTTAAGTGATGCAGCTCAGGATGATGAGTGGTCAGCTAAATCTCTGCAGCAGTTTCTATACCTTCAGCATTTCAGGCAATAAACAATTCTTGAGCACCAAGGCCACTGGGATTTGGGGACTTCAGAATCTAATACTCCAGACATGGAAAACAAACCCAGTAAGCTCATACAGTGGTTACTGAAGGAGTCAATAACACTAAACTGCAGCACATTTGTCCAGTTACAACTCAATGTTCTCCTACTGAAATATTCCATTAATCTTTGAGAAAATACAAAGCAAATGTTAACTGCCAACATATCACATACTTCATGTAGGGTTATGATGATTTACATCAACTAAGGATTTTCCTCATGGAGTGAGGTTACATTTGTGTTACTCCTAGGACTATTAGTTATGTTCCCATTTTATGGAAATAACACAAACTTACATAATTTGGCTCACAAAAAAATAAAGCAATGATTGTATATGACAGGCTCTTCTCTGCAAGAAGATGCTTGGAAGTACAGGCTATATTACACTTTTAACAATGTGTAGGAAAGCTAAGAACTCCAAATACTGAGCGATTAACCCGTTATTCTCTTGATAAGATTTTAGGAGAAAGAGTCTGACTCCTTTTTTCTTGTTTTCCTGTTTTCATTGTGACCTAGTAAGCACTAAACTTCTATGTTACTCTTCTCCACCTGAAATTTAAGCATCACTAGGAAGATAACTAAATTCTATGGCCAATATCAATACGAGTCTAAGGGACTCTGGCAGATGGCACAATTTCCATCTTCTTCCCACTCTATGTAGAAGAATGTATAATTTAAAGCAGTGGCTGGTATACTTTAAACAAATATACAGTCTCTTACACCTTCCTTTTAGTTGTTTTTTCCTGCTGTATCTCTCTTACCAAGCTTTCTGACAACTAAATTACATCTGCTTCAGCCTATCTTATATCAGTTAGACTGTGCAGTCAACTTCAGAGGGGACACATAAGGGGCCATATATAACACATCCACAACCACATTTGAGGAGGATGGAAGAATTTAAATATACCCATTTAAATTATCTCAAATGCAACTCTGGCCGTTGCTGTTAATCTTTGATGTAAGGAATAATCCCATATGAATTTCAATGCCATGATGTTTAAGAGGCAAAGCACCAGGAGTGTAAAGCTGGATAGTGCAATATAACATTTAAGAACCTTCTAGTGAAACAGTATTTTCTGTCTACTGTCCATTAATAAAAATACACAACTCCTTGAAAACACGAGTGTTGATAACTGTTATAGCATTGCACTCCCTTTAAGCAAAATACATGCTGGTCTCAAGAAACTCTTGGGAATACTTTTACTCACAAATCTACAGTAATATTCCCTTGAGTAATAATCAAACTTTTCAAAATACATGATTGCAGTATTCTGGATAAAATGCACTGTATTTTTACTAAGTTATATTGAAACTTTTTACAGGGACTGCAGTACAAACAGAACCTAGATATTCCTTCTAGCTGAAAAAAACCCTGTTAGTCTGTAAGGTCACTATTGTTTATTAACTGGTTGATATATAAAACTGTTCTAGCAACTAACACACACACCTGAAAACTATGTGTATAAATTGTGGTGACTGCTCAGAAAAGAGTTATGTTTAAGAGCAAGAAAATAGAAATACAGTACCCCAGCTTCATGCACACTTCCACTTGTCATATGTCAACACAAGTAAATATGCTGACTTTGGAAATTTGGTTATTTTAGCCTTAGTTATATTTATATTCTTCTATGAAATCATTATGTACTATTACAAAGCCCTTGAGAGTTGCAAGGAATCTAGTTACTGTGGATTTTTGGGCCAGATTCTGCTCTCAGTTACAAAGACACATTGAACTAACCTCATCAAAGTCGGTCTATTACTCTGGGTTTATGGCATTCCCAGATCAGACCTTGGCTCTAAGAATTTTATTTTTATGCGAGATTTAACTTCAAATACAGTCTCCTTTGCTGTTTGTTTGAAGCAAGCAGATGATTATTAATACCAAATTTTACTGGAAGATTCATGCTTCTATAAAATTCAAAATACATTTTGCTTCATGGTGAAGCTTAAAAGAATGATATCTCCATTGTGCACATCAGTATGTGGTAAAATTGCTGTTAAATAGCACATGCATCTGAAGGCAAAGCATATCTTCTTTTTCTCTCTCCTTACAAATGCATAGCATAGGCATATTACATGTCCTACATATATGTAGGCCATCCTATTTAACATGCTGCAAATCGTCTGTATCACTGAGGTTATTCCAGACAGTTACAAACATGCATATCAAGGACATTCAGTGACAGATTTAATTGAAACTTGATAGGCTACCCACTGCATATTAGAATAAATATAACCTGTATTATGCATTTTCCCCTTCCATAGGATTTTCTGAACTGCCTTTGTCCAGAATTAACTTAAACAGTTTATCACTCATCCAGATTGGTTTTGAAGCTGTGTTTAGTTGTGTGTAATGATACTCCCTCAGAGCCTACTCCAGCACCTCTTTAATCTTTAGCCAAGACTATCTAGAGTACTACTCACTAACAAAAACTGCCAGTATATTTTGCTTAATAAGGTATTTGTCATTTTATCAGATGTTAAATTTACCCACAACTGTAGCTAAAGCTCTCCAACAGCTGACATCTGAAATCATTACTCAAACCAGCCTGCTAGTCTTTCTACACTTTGTCTTCAATACTGTACCATGAAATCTCACAGCTTCTCTTCGGTTGCTCTTTCAACTAGCAAAATAAAGTCAAAGGTTGATACATTTAACTGTTCATTCATCTATTCCAGAGCACTGGCCATCAGAAGAGTTTGTGTCACTTGTGAAAATCAACTGGAGTTAGTCCATACCTAGCTCATGTATAAAACTAAACAGATGAAGGACCTTCAAAGAGCAACACTTTCTCTCTGCCCAAAGTATTGAACTGGTTTTGAATATTTTAAAAAGTTTGTGTATGGTTTTTCCTTTAGTATCCTACTAGTACTGTTACATACTCTAAAAACATCAGCAGTTTATTTTAGGATTTTTTTTTTAAGAGAACAGCATATTTTAAGCAAGTATTATTAAATATCAGCAAATAAATGTTGGAGTTCTTAAACTGCAAACAAGAATATTCACATTAGAAACCTGATTCAGCCATGACCTTTCAAAAGCAGCATAGGGAATGTATCATGTGATTTGTATTTCTAATCAAAATATCCTGAATTTAAAATGGCAAATATTTGCAGTGGAGTGCTTTTGTACACGGTATAGACTCAGAGTTCTTGGAAGAAATTGTTCATAAAGTAACATTAATTAAAAAATAATATTAGGAAAACATGTGCATGATGCTGTGACAGAAGCTGGGAGATAAGAAACTTAACAGTGCGATCCACCATTACTCTATCCGGTTTAGCTCTCTTTCCTAAATAGTAGCACAAACCCACTATCACTTTATGACCTTACCTATAAATGAAAGGAGCTACTGTGGCAGTGTTGGGGTGACTGTATTGCTGTTGCTGAGGAAGCTGGACAACACCATTTCCTGTGCCTTGGCTGCTGCTTGCAGCCATCGAGGCCGTCAGAGACGTCAAGGACCCCGGGATGAGAGATGCGCTTGGTTCTTTCCCTTCGGAAGAAGCAAGACCAGAGGAAGGAGAAGTCTTCTCACTAAGTTGAGATTTTGTTGTTGTTTGGGACTGGTTTCCTTTTGTAGTCCTCAGTTTTTCAACCTCCTTACTTCCCGCGCATACAGATGAAGCACTCTGCTTTGCTGTTGGCACCTTCGATCCAGGTTTTGGGATCCCACTAGAAGACGGTATTAAACTTTCCTTCTTGGCTGCTGCCGTCTTGCTTCCCTTTGGGATTAAGCTTGCAATTTTTGAGCTCTTCTTTGTAGATGTTTCAGTGACCTGGTCCTTCTCCTCCTTGACTGTTTTCTCAGTGCAAACTTTGTTTTTGTCCCTGTTCTTTTCCTCTTTGTCCTTTGGCTGTAGCAAAGACTTTTTATTGCTGAGATTTTTGCTTCCAGCTTTTGGAGGGGTTAACTTCGGTGATACTTTAGGACTGCTACTTGTGGAGCCGCCGCTGTTCACCCCACCACTTAAGACATCCATTTCACCACATTCTGAAAAAGTATCATCCTCTCTCCCACTGTCACTGGGTCCTGAGCTCAGCGACAAAGGAGGTCTTAGAGCAGTCCTAGCATTAACCAGCTTGAATTTTTCCAGCATAGATTTTTGTCCAGATGAAGGGGGCTTCACACCTTCAGAAGGAGGTGGTTTGAGCCTCTCTGAAGATGGAGTAGGGGAGGTTGCAGGACTAGGCTGCTTCACGGACAGCATGGTAGAGGTTGCGCTGTGTTTGACATTCATGGATTTGCTGCGCCAAGGCTTGCTGGCACTTGGAGAGGGTATGGCAGAGACCTGCTGCTGCCCGGTGCTGGTGGGATGCTGCACGTTTCCATTCATGCCTGCAGATGGGTGAGGGCCTTTTGGTGAATCTGCTTAAAAACCAGAAAGAATGAAAATGTTACATTTATTCTCTCATCTTCTACTTGAAGTTGATAGCATACTCCTCTGGCATTTAAAACCCATCTACATGTGTTTTAAAATAATTTACATGTGCATAGAATATGAATGATGGTAATCAAAGATGCCTTTTTTTCCCCCACCATCATGGTTTTGTCCAATACCTCTGTGAGTTCAAGAGCACCTTGGAATCACCTTCCTTGTAACCATCTCATTGTGCAAATTAAAGCTTCCAATTTAAAGATTTTATTTTTAATAAATCATAAAGAAATTCTTCCAATCACTTTTTAATAATAAAACACTGAGACATGGAAGAAAAAAAGAATGCTACAATACTGAACAAAAAACAAAACCAGAGAAAGATGGTTTGGATGTTTAGTGAAAGCAAAATATGTGCTAGAAAGCGAAGGTTTTGGGCAGAAGGAGGAAGACAGAGTAATACTGAAATTAAATGGATAAAATCAATATTCACAGAAGCAAAAAACAGCAGGTCACGATATTTTTTTTTGCTTTTAAGTACGGTTAACAACCTTTCTTAGTTGACTTCAGGAACTTATCCCAGTGCACTTTCATAGGTGGGATAAAATATATAAACAATTTCACCAGTGTCAGTACTTGAAAGTTACAACGATATATCATCTACATGGGCACAGCAATGATAGTTGTTTTGAGCCTGAAGCTCAGGTAGATACAGAAGGCTCATTTACGTGGCTCTGGTACCTTCGCATTTACATTGTCCAGAAACTTCAGTGAATCTTCAGAATGAATGAGAACAAGACTCTTTCTGCAATAACAAATCTATGCTAATCGACAACCATGATTTTAAAATCTAGCTTTATTAAGTAAAATAGGCTTATGCATGAAAGGGTTAAGCTCTGTATGAAGCTCAGATTTCCAAGACATGTCTGAGATTTGAAACACTATTACTCTGGAGCACCAGAGAAATTAAGTGGCAATGGCAATCAAATACATGGTACAATAGCTATTTCAGCAGACAGCATATTTTCTCTTAGTGTATCTATCTTGTCTTGCCATTCAGCATCAGGACTGCCAGTTAATCAGGTGTAAGCCTGCCCATATCAAATTCAGTACTACCAAAAAAGCTTATAAAACATGCAGTGCAAATATAACTCATGCAATGGCAAGAAGAGTGCTTGATATGTTGCATACACACATGAAGCCAAAGTCATGCCTTGGGGCCTATCTCTCCGAATAATATAGTAGATGAGGACACTGAAGTAATTTGTCTCTTCAGCACAAAGTTTGAAGTTATGTGTCATTTTTATTTCTGTCGTCTGAGCCCTAAGGCCCTAGCATGGATTAGACAACCCACCTGGAAGTCTGAAGGCCACTAATACACATAGGAAAGGGAGGATTTTGAACATCTCAAAGAGCTGCTTTTTCTTTAACAAAGAGAATGCAAACATAGCAAAATTTACTTCTCTAAATAGCATTAAGAAGTTCTAGTTTAAAAACAATTTTAAAAATCTGAACACAAGCAATATGGCAGAAATGTAACATCTTTTACTTGCTTAATACTATTAACAACTGGATTGCAGCAGGCCAATAACCTCTACCTTCAATAGATGCTGTATAATTCCATCTGCCCAGAGTTTTTTGTGTGCTCCTCAGCCTGATATGCAAACCCCACAGTGCTAAATGAGCTCAGTGCACCTTCACAGAAGGTTTTGAGCAGCTCTGCTGCATCCAGTTACTAGGCAAGAATATTTTAACTGGTAAAGTTTGCCTCAGAGCATTTTTTGGGACAGATGACGTTATGGCTTATTCCTCAGGCGCCAGGTAGCACTATGCACATGAAGCACTTTGGTGGGCAGCTGCAGAGCTGATCCCCTCGCTTGAGACCAAAGCAGGAATTGTGGCTGGGCCCCTGATATTTCCTGGGGAGCCTCAGATCCTGAAAGAGAGCCTGGGGCCATGAACAGCAGTAGGAAATTAGATTCCTTAATGTATACCAGGGGTCAGCCCCGTGGTTGATAGCCCAGGACTAGGTGTACACAAGGACCTTCTTGCACACATCTTGCCTTGCACTAAGCTTGCCTGAATATTACACAGGAGCATTGGGGTCTTCAGTTATCCCAATAGTTTTGCAGAACAACTCACCATAAGAATATGCAAAGCTAATGCAGAATACATATAACAATCTGTGAACAGCGGGATGCCACTATACTCTGTCCTATTAATTCTGTTACATTTGTATGGCTTCAGGCTATTAGTTTCACTACAAAATCCATAAGAAATGTTCTGATGAAGAAGAATAATAATGTATGCTTTACCATATTTCCTGCTATATAATATTAAACTCATTGGAGGGAAAAATTCTAAAAAGAAGAGTATTTACTATTTCGTCAACAGCTTGTTCCGCTACATATATAGCAAAAAACCCACAGGTTCCTGGAACTACTGGTACTTATTTGATCTCTATGTTACAAACCATAAGCAGCATCAAAAAATTACATAAAACTTGAACTTAACCTTAAATCTCAATTTAAAGTGTATCCTTAATGTTTGCACAAGGAATGTGGACTGCAAACTGTCAAGATATATTGAGAGCCTGTCTGTATGTTTAAAGATGTGGAATAAAAAGATTTCCTCTCCAGCCCAAACGCATTACTGGAAGCTGCACATCATTTCTTGCTTTCTGCATGGTTCATTTGGACATAGCTTTAGCTGTTCATTACATGAAATCTGTCCCCACCCTGTGGTGATTTTGATACAGAGTGAACCTAAAGATGACAAGGATTTCATACTTCTGTAAACTGTATTTTATAAGAAGACAGTCTTCTGTCTAGGGCCTAATCCCCTTATTGCTCAAATGCATAATCAGCTTGTGGTGAAAACAATTTTGTGTTCTGCTTGAGAGTTCAGTGCTTCAGGGCTCAGCCCAACCTGCATTGGAGAAGCAGAGCAACACTCCCAGGTGTTCAGTGCAAAAATAAATTTCTACCAGGACCCAGCAAGACCATGACAACCAAATGGGCATTTTCAAGTCCACTTTTCATAGGCTGTAGCACAAATAAAGGACATGTAAGGAATTAAATTTGGACCCAATATATGATCAACCTCCTCTGTCTTCTGTGACCTTTGCTGTGTTCTGTGCTGTTGGAGAAGACAGGACCTCTGTGACAACAGCTCCCCTGCTGCAGCACAGTTAGGTACCAATAATCTAAATATTCTGTAACAGGCAGGTGCCCAGATTAGAATATCCAATTTTAGTCATTTACAATAAAGAAGGTTAGTAGAAAATTGAACAGCTGCAAGGGACTCCTATAAGAATGTTTGGAGAAATGGGAGGTTTACCTGGTGAGATTAAAAGAATACAGCTTGTTCAAATGTCCCTTTCCAGCTGTCCATGAGAAAGTAGCTACCCCTTAGCAGGACAGGATGAGGACACCACCAGGGACAACTGGCAAAATACTGGCACCAGAAGAAATGTAAACAAATTAGCTACAGAGGTCCATACTAGCCACAGATGAACAATGATTTGCATCATCAGACAATGGAGTTCCAGGACCGAGTTTGTCAGAGTTGGTATGGGCAAAATAACCAAATACAGTTGAAACTGAGTTTGGGCAACACTATTTTATATTATTAAATTATATTGAAAAGCAGACGATTAAACTCCATGACATAGAGACCCTTATCAGTGTTCAGATACGGTGTTTCTAAGTGCTATAGTGTAAATACTTGGTTTTAAAATTTGACTTGAATTAGAACATTATTTCCTTGCTGGACTCAAAACGCCCTAGGTATCCACCATATTAGCAATGTGAATAATTACTTTATTCAAATAGTTCAATTTCGTAGTTTTGTTTTTCTCTTCATTTTATTAAGGCAGAAGCATAAAGATGTGATGTGATCTGGAAAAGAGATGTGTTCTTTGAAACACATCCATAAACTGCAAAATCCAGCCAAAAAAAAAAAAATAAAAAAAAAATCAAAAATCACCTCACTAAAGCTCCACAGATGAATTTCAGTTAATGGCATGTTTATTGTTTTGGTAAGTTCTGTGTTCCTGACTTAATCACATCTACACAGTTACCTGTGTCACAGCAATGGTTTGGGTCTGTGGGTGAAATCTGGGCTGTACTCAATAAAAAGCAAACCTGCTCAGGGGAGCTAAATTTTGCACTGTGTGAAGTACCCCCTAAGCAACATTCAAAGAAGATAACATTAATGACATACTAAATAATGAAATACTAGATAAAAGGACCATATCACATCTTAATTTGGATCACCTTCAGGCCTCCTTTAACTCTGTGACTACATATCCATTCCCCATGGTGACTGAGCTGGAAACTGTTATGGAGGAATGGATTTCAAGTATTACATACAACTGGATTAAAAAAAATCCCACCCCTAAGCTGTATATCTTTTATGCAGTCTCCTTACAGCACATACAGAAAGGTGTACAGCAGAAAAAAACATACCAAAAGTGGTCTGCCCTTGAAGAGGTCTGGAGGTCCCAGCCTCTAATGACTATTTACCGAGTGCAAGTCATCTCTTTTTCTGATTCAGTTTATGCAGCACTAATTACAGGCTATTTACTATATGTTCTATAGGTCAGAATCTAGAGTGGACTATATATTCACTCGATGAAAGCTGTTAAAGTTATCTTGCTCCAAGATAATTGCATCTGAAGCAAAATTTGAAAAATAAGGTTTATTATGTATGTCAGACTGTATGGAAAAATCAGTTTTTCAACATATAGTGACATTTTCTTTAAAAAATGTGTTTGTTATTACTATTGTGAGGGTTGGAGTTTGTTTCTAAACAAATTCTTCAAAAAATCTCAGGTAACAGAACATCCTCAAATACTTCAAAAAAAATCAAGACTACTTGGAAATTTCATTGTAATATTCAAAAATTAGCCACCATAATAATTAAATTTAAAATATAAATTCAGTTGTTATTCTGTTCATATCATCTCATCAGGTTCTCATGTTTTCTTTTAGGGTATTATAAAAATATCACATTGCTATCCTTGCACTCACAGCAGTTATTTTTTCTAACTAACTTCTTCTTTATAATCTGATTAACTTCTGCTTTATACTCTAGAACAAACTTGCATTTGGTTTATATTCTCAGGTAAAATCAATGTTTTTCCATCCTTTCTGCTGTTTTGAAAGAAAGAAAAAAGAGCAGACAAAACCATCTCAAATACAGCACTCTGTAGTTATGCAATATTACATTTTCTATATCCTATAAAACTAATTGAATGATTATACACAAACAAAGTGACCCCTTATGCTCTTGCAGTTGATGACCACTAAAAATCTCATCAAGGTTCTCATTCTCTGCTGTAAAGAAATGGGAAAGTAAAGAAATTCATCATGCAAAAAGCCACATAAATGTGCAATGAAATGAAAACTTTATCAGTTAAAAGGCAGTTTCCAAGTAATGAGCTAAGAATATTAATATCTATAAGCATGTCTCACCTTGAATCATTGCACTCTCACATATTTCAGTAGCAAACTTATGTCAACATTATGAAACAATTCTAAAACCTAAACTGCTTTACATACCTTCACTCAAGCAGCCACATCTCCTACTTCGTAACTTCACTATTGTATTTGTGAACTATACAGTGTCTGGCTCAGTTTTCACTCTGATCTCTTTCTAGTTTTAGCCTGGATGTCTTGCCACAAACAAGTCCTTGATAAAATAAATTCCACTATAGAACTATCTAAAACATTCAACCCTGACAGTAAAAATAAAGAAATAACTATTGAAAGGATGGTTTTATATCTTCAGATACAGCTAGGGGCAAAGTGTGTTCATCAGAATTCTGTAAAAAAAATCTGGATAGCTGCCTGTTGCTTGGATGAAGAACATTCACTGCATACTTTTTCCTCCCACAGACCCCAAGGATGCAAATGGGTACTATGTATATTGTATCATTTTCAACTGTATTCTAACCCAGAGATATGAATAAAATGCTGTTCATTACACAAAGGGAGAAATAAGAGGGGAAAGGGGCTGGGTTAGTTACACAACTCAGAAAGCTGAGTTTTTTAGATTATTCTTTTTGAGATAAAGCCTGAAGAGGAACATTTTCCAGGAAGACAGTGTCAGGGTGGGAGAAATGGAAGAACCCATGGAACTCAGTCTGTTTCCATAATGGATGTTCATATTTAAAGAAGGCAATAAAACATGAACAAAGAACTCAAATCCCTGTAAAATTTCATTACATTTGACTTAATTTCCCAATCCCTATGCATACTTATACATACACTAGGTAAGTTTCTGAAGGAGTAGATACATGTAATATTCTGATGCAAATATAATAGTCTGATTCTTCTCCATTAGAAGATGCAAAGTCCCCTGAAAATTATGGCAATATTTTGGGTATGAGTAAATTTGAATATGGTCCAAGGTTAGGCATCCAATATGGACTCATTTTTACTTCAGAAAAATCACCCAGTGATATTTCCATCAAAGAGGGATAAAATAAAATTACATCTTGAAAGTTTTCAGTTCTGAACTTTAATCCCAACTCAACCATATGTCCTAATACAGAGCCCTGTCTCCATAGGTTTTACTGACCAAGTCTAAATATTACATTCATTTCTTTGCTCCTTGTGGATGGGTTCTTTTGGTAATTTTTTTTTTCCAATTGTATGTTATGTAGAGTAAGCTTAGTAACTTTTAATCACTTACCTTTTTCATTTCCATTTGCATATTGTGGAGGCTTGTTTTTGTCAATGCTGTTAAAGCTCTGGCTTCTCCGATTTAAATTAGAAGCTCCCTGGACTTTGGTACTGCTGCCTGCAGCTGGCACCCTTGAGGGTCCTGGAAGCCTGGAATGGTATAATCAGAAATCAGTTCACTTTATGTAATGCAATCTATAGAGGAAGCAGTATGCAAAGATCAGACCAGAATTTAAAACCAACAACTGAAAACAATGATTTCAGGTAAGCAACAATGAACAGGAGAATTCAAATTAGTTAGACTCCACAAATGAAAATAAAACTTATCTTTACACACACAAAAGGGAAAAAATGCTTTCTAGAGTCACAAGACATGTAAGAAGATGCTTTGCATTTGCCATTAACATTGCTAAAACAGATTCACCCTAACAAACCTTTAAAGTGAAATATCAACTTTTATTTAAATATGTCACTTTTGAAGAGAAAATATTGCAGAAATTGATTAGAAAGTACAACAATACATAGTTGGGAAATATTTCATATCTCTTACTTTAGTAAATATTTCACAGCTGTGTTTAGAATAAATGCTGGCCTTTTAGTTATCTTTGTTATTTTTCAGAGGGCTATTGGCTAAAGCACTTTCACCTTACTATTTTAAATGAAAAATATTGAAAATACCTATTTCAGCTAGTTGTTACAGATGCATGTATACCTTTTAGATAAGATAGAAGTATATAATCTAGACTATACAGTTCATTTGTTAGTATTTGCTGCCACCATCTGAACCTTACTGTGTGACTAGGCTAAGGAAAAAAATACGTTATCTGTGGCATGTGTAAGCCTGCATTTTTTTCTGTTTCAGTCTGTTCTCTGATGTAAGATTCTTTAATACATGCTTACTTCAAACTTTCTGAGCATCTTTATGAGCACCCCCACTCCCTTCCAGTTTTATTTGATAGACAAAATAAAATGCTTGAACCAGCGAGAGGCTTTTGCCATAGAAGAATATCTCTCTTCTGCTTCTCACTTATTGGAAGTATATGATGATTTTAATAGTGGCAATACAAATTATACCAGTTATCAAATTCTGTTAGTTTCACTATATTATGAAAGAGCAACGTCAGAAGGAAAAAAAAAATAAAATCACATAACACAGAATTACAAAACGTTAGATTTCTTCCAAACTTTTTTTTTTTTTTGGTTTAATATACTGGTGTTACAAAAATGTTCAAATAATTTTATTTTCATTAGCAAACACATGTGAACAGCTCCATGTTCTCTTCCTTTACCAGTTTAAGCCTCAGAGAGCTAATCCATTAGTTATTTTTATGGCTCATTCTGGCTGCCAGCCTGCCCTGATAGTCTCTGTGCCGAGCCCAGAGCAGACTGTCTCTGCTCTGCAGCTGTATGAATGGTAACCTTTACCATGACCCATGAATTCTAGTGATCTTCTGTTCCCTGAAGAATGCACTAAAACAAACTTAAAAATCCATTTGCTCCTTCTCATTACCCTAATTTGACAGGCAGTGAGAGCCTTGAGATTGTTTGTCAGAGGTAATGAAAAAGCAATGGGAAGGCATGTGCAACACTGGAAACTCATCTGTTAAAATATAAAATAGTTCTGCATATATTCTGCAAGCCAGAATTTGAGAACTTGCCACAGTAAGCATATTATACATGAGGTCATCTGCTCTACACACTTTCCAGTTTACCTCATTTGCTGTCTTTTTTAATTGAATTCAGATTTTAAACTGCTCTTGCAGAATCATGTTAAGCAGCTAAGGAAATGCAAAGAGGAGAATAACAAATAAGGGACATGTCACATACCTCTGAACAGGCTTCGGAAACACTGCCACAGATTTAAAGTATTAGACAATAAGACCGTTAACCCCGACATGTTGACTTTGGACAAGACAGGAACATCAGCAATAAGGAAAAGTGAGGACCTATAAATGCAGGTGCAAAGCAACTGGACCATGGTATAGCTCATTCCAAGCTATCACCAGCAACTCAAATTGTGTTAGTGCACTATACCACAAAATGCAATCTTTTTGTAGATTATGCAATTTAAAGTTCATTGTTCTCACCAATGAACTGTACAGCGAAGGTATAATTATATGAACACATTAATTATCAACCCCCCCTCCAAAAAAAAAAAAAAAAAAGAAAAAAAAGAAAAATAGAAATGATAGTAAGCTTTAGACCTCAGTTTCTTTCTTCTGCAGTCTGGCTTGTAGATTTTAGTGCTCATAGAAATGATAAACTCAAAGTACTGATGAAACCTGAAACAGATCAGTTCCTACACACAGCTGTCAAATTCACTGCCAAAACAAAGCATCTCATCAGTGGGAACTGTGTGCAGCTGACTCTTGATGGAGCAGAAGTCTTGGAAGTTGGTTCTTTTTTTCTGCTCTATTTTGCTTCTGCGTGAACTTGGGTCTCTGAGGTCAACATTTCAGGTGGATTTGTGATACATGCAAAACATCTAGTAGGAATTAGGATGGACTCCCAAACTTCTTTTCACTCATGACTAAAGTGAGGATTTGAGCCAGAGAGTAGAGAGCACTAAAATCACCAACTAATCCTTCACATCTAATATTCTGCATGCAGGATACAAAGATGCAAGATACATAACAACTAGAAGTATTGCTAATAGACAATACAAGTCAGCTCCTTCCAGACCATACAAGGTTTTCCTGTGGCAAAGCTCATTGCTGCGAAGCTTGCACGCATAACATAAATACACATTGTTTAATGTCTGCTTATGTCCTAAGGACAAAATATCAATGGGCATATACTTGCTTGAGTACCACTAACAAGCAATAAATTAGAGATATTTAACTGACCTAGAAGTCTTTTTTTGACTGGTTGCAATTCCACTGTGATTAGACTGAGTTGCATATCTGGCTGTGAGACTGTATGAGAAGAAACAGAGAAATTGAATTAAAGAATTTCTTTGAACATGTATAGAAAGAACACACTTACCAGCAAACTATGAGTTAATGAATGCAAATTGAACATGGATAGAAAACACAAATTAACTGGCAATAATATGAAATAATGCAAACATGCAGATTTTTATGAGAGATGCAATGAACAGATTATGAAATAATGGATATTGTTATAGCTTGTCTCATTTGCTAGAAATTATTTTAGGAATAGACAATGTGGGCAAATTTCTACAGCGACTGAATTACTGAAGTCTAAGCTGAGTTCACACAGAATGTACCTCAAAACTCTGTGCCTTTTCTTTTTTTCATCCACAAGAAGTATTAAACACAAATATACAGCTACTAGTCTCTCCAGCAGCCTGCATGGGTTCACAGTCTAGCAGTGAGGAACAAATCTGCTATACCAGATCCAGCATGGACTCAGGAAAAATCCTGATAAAGAAAGGTGACCCTCCTGACAGCAGGGCTATATGGAAGAAGCATTCCATCAGAATTTTCATTACTGTTACAGCAGTACAGGTCATATATGTGATACATGACCCAGGCAATGACTCAGAGGCCTCATAAGGAAAGCCCTGACATGTGGTTAGACTCACTGTTAAATTCCACAGGAAAATACACCTTTGTCTATTAAGGGATCTGAGTGGTATTTCTGCAACAGAAGACAGGCTGTGCTACAGCACTAAAAACTGTATGTTCTTTTAAACACCCAACAACGTGCCATTACTAAACAGCAGATTTATGCCTCTTTTCTTTTAGACATTTGCACAGGGGATATATCAAATGTACAGACAATGTAAGGCCTCCTGCCAGGTAATTTCCGTTACTATAAACAGGTGCATCCTTTGGCATCCACATAGCCTAAGGATATAGACAGGTGCCTAAGCCAGGTGCAATCACAACATCAAATTCCTTGCATTATTAAGGAAGTGACAGAGAACTGAGTAAGCAGAAACTTTGATAGTCACAGATTGCTTTTGTCTTTTACAGTTCTGTATCTTCCAGAAATTCTGAGTAGCAGTAGAAACACAGTGCTTTAGACCTGGCTTTATAGACTGGCAGCACTTATAAAAAACACCTGGTGGTATTGAGTCTACCAGAAAAGTGTTAAGCAATTTCTGCTAGTCCACTGAAGCAGGTAGCCTGAATATAGAACAGAGGGGAGAAGCCCTGAAAGAGAAAGGTCTTCCCATACTGGTACAGCAGTCCTGCAGCAGGGCAAGGAGAAGGCACAAACCAAGGGACAATGTGAGACTTGAATGGGATGCATGATTATTGTTACTTTACCAAATTAAGCCCCAGTAAGAGGTTCAGCATTGCCTTTGTGCCTGCCAATTACAAATAGCACATGAAAAAAAAAAAAAGGGGAGTACTTCAGTCTTAAGAGGGCAAAAAGGAATTGTTCAATATATAAAAGCATCATTCAGTTCTCTGACATGTATTTTCACAGTAATGCACACAAACTGCCTTTTTATATGACCAGAACTTCTGTGGGAATTATAATAAATTATAATAGTCATAATAATTACAGTTTATATATTTTTATCTAGTCAGTATGTTAAATTATATTTCATTTACAGCTATCTTTCTTAATAATGTTTGGATTTAAGATGCAAATGTGACATAGGATGTTTTGCTGAAGGTGTTAAATTTGTGCCTGACATAATAGGTAATGTTTTGATAAGATCTTCCACTCGTTTTTTTTCAATGTATTTAAAATGAAAGAATCTAGAAATGGTTAGCTGGTTATCTGCATTGACTAAACAAAGAAGTTTCTGAGAAAATGGTATGTCAAATAAAACCTCAGTGCATTTATGTTGTAAAAGGTAAAATGATACACAGTACAATCAACATGGACAGTGAGCTGGAAAAACAGAGTGAATAGGATGCATCTTAACCACTGGATGAAAAGGCTGAAGCTTCTGTCTTGCTGTAGCATATCATAGCTTCTCTATCTCAAACAACACAGTTCCAAAGTAGCTGGACAGGTCAAGTAACTTAGATTAAGTTATGTTGCCAAGTTGTTGATAAGGTAGCCCACAGACAGATGGCACTTGTTTTTTATATGAAACACCTATCTGGAAATGCTTGCTAGAATGCTTTACTTCCAAGCTTGTTGCAAGGGACTCTATCCACAAGCAAATTCACGAAATATCAGCCTACAGACTGCTTTCAAACTTTCCAGACAGGCTTGAAAGGTGTTGATGTCAACGTCAGTAAAGTGTCATTTCCACTATGAGTGGGTAAATTTATTTTCCAAAGTAATGTGACAAATGAAAGGGAAAAAGAGAACTTTAACAGCTCATAAATCAGGTGCATCAAGTTCATAATGACTTTGGGTTTTCCTTCTCAGTTAACACTGGATATGATGGACATATTAAAGTTTTGCATGGATGCCTATTTCCCAACCGCTGGCCTCATTACTACCGATGTGAACTACAACACATCCAAAGTCTAACCACTCTTTTAAATGTATAAGCAAACAAGTAGCTGCTGCCCTCCATCCTATCAGATAATTGTCTGAGGTTTACATCTGGCAATCAGGAAAATAAACCTGTTTTTCTTAAAACAGTCATTCTTTTATGCTTACAGATCCAGAAAAAGGTTTAATAAATATGTACTCCATTAAACCAGCAGATTCATGTTAACAAAGCAGACAGAACTAAGTTTAACACTACAGCATTTAGGACAATGAAGGATTTATTTGTCAGAGGGTTGGAAAGGGGGATTTTTAAAGCCTCCAGTTCTCAGCTGTCTGCTCTCAAGCCCCTTTCCACTGCCATAATCCTCCCACCATCAGACTTGCACAACATGGTCACAGCTTTATATCAGTTATCTAAAAAGCCAAGCCACAGTGCACTGGCAGGAAAGGGACATATGAAGTACAGAGGACACTAACCCTAACTTCAGAGCCGGCAGAAAACCCTACTGCTCCTGCGGCTACAGCCCTGTATTGCAATCCTGGAGGCAACTCTGGCACTGGACCTGGGTCAGGAACAGGCCTTGTGGCCTCTGGCATCAAGCTTAACTCTCCCCTTCCACCTAATGCATAGAGGAAGAGAAGGCAGATGCTCCTGGTTAATCAAATCCTGTTTAAAAGATGGTCTAAACATATTTAATCCAAAACCCTTAGAAATCAGCTGGACTCTTCAAACTGGCTGCCAGTGGAAATCAAACCCCCATCTTTTCTCTCACAAACCAAGGAAACACTAGCCAACACAGCAGATATGAAATGGTGACTGTGGGTAACTTCTGTTGCTGGTCCCTTTGTTGAATGCTGTGAGAAAATGGAATATACATGCTGAAACTGCCCAGAAAGGCAGTTAAGCACAGAGGTAGCTGGAGTGGTACTGAGAAAGAAGCTACAGAGATGTCAGCGATTGACCTGGCCGTGAGGTGCTGATGGCGAACACCACAGCTGTACTGAAGTCATGCTGGTTGCAAAACCCAGGACTCTGCACTGCGCCACATGGCTGTGAAGCACAGTCAGTCCACCAAGACTGGGAACTGATGGAGGGCATGCAGTTGCAGGCAGGATAAAAGGATTAAGAAATGGTCCTAAAAGGTGTAGGGCAACCTAGAAAGTCAATATAAGCTACAATAATAAAGGTTCTTAACTGCCCTCCCAATGAAAGTGACGTGAAATATTCAACTGAAATGGGTAAATAAAAACAAAGAGGATAAAGAGAGAAGGCAAGGGATTGCTTGACACTGGACTAAACTGCCAGAAAGTCTGTCTTGTTGCTATATGAATAGCATGGTATAACAGGAAAGAAACAACTCCTTGAAAGTGTGTATACCACATAAAGCTGAAGGGTGGAGCTCATATAAACCTGGATACCAAGCACAAATCAAGATGAAAATATTTTAACCTCCTTCTTCAAAAATTAACCCATACAGCATCACCATGAATATAATCTACTTTTTATTAATAGTCTTTCGAAAGATCAAAAGGATCATGTAACAGCACACTGTCATTTTTCTATAATGTTAAGAGTCACATGGTGGTTCTAAAATGCCAGCTATGTGATCTATTAAATTTAGACAAAATGCAAAAGGGTTTGCAGTGTGTAATCAGTCTTTCAACCTTACTGGCATACTTGAATTTTAATATGATGTTGATCTTAAAAAGTGCATTTATATCACTAGGGTGACTGCACTCCAGAACTGTTCAAGACTTTTCTATTATAATGATTCCCTGATAAAAACTAGGTTAAAAAGAATGCATTTTCAACATAAAAATTTTCCCAAAAGGTCTTGATTGAGCTGTACATTTTTTTTTTTAATTAATTTTTCTTAAAATGAGCTCCTTGGCTGTACGATTCTCATCAGCCTGCCTGGCACAAAGCACAAGTACTCTAAGGTTCACCCAACTCCAAATACCAAGTGTATCTGGAGAGATGCCACAGGAAACAAAAGTTTCCAGGCTCCTCACCATACCAAAACAGTCTGGGCAGGTAAAAGATCCCTGATTCCTCAAATGGACCACCAAGGAACAATGAGGAGAAAATAAAAAAACCTAAATTTTCCCACAGACAGTATTTTTCATACATTTCTTTTGCCTTTTTAGCCCAGTTCTGGTGAATTAATATATGCTTACATCTACATATATGTATCTATCTACTTATATATGTTTTAAAATGTAATTTATTTATATATGAATGTTATACACTTCTGTGTATTTTATAGATATATCTGTAGTTTATAGTTTATATATGTATATCTAACACAGAACCACACTCTTTTTTTTTTTTTTTTTTTTCATTCACAAGAGGAAATGTGTATGGCTCAGGCAGTTCTAGCACATATCATGTCATCTGTTCTGTATTAGGTTGACATTTTTCCTTTCCACTCTTTGAACTTCTGGCGTCTTATGCAAAAAGTCTGTCTCCAACTGATTCAGGCTTGGAGGTATAAGTAAAACGGTGTTTTCAGTGTTTTCCTGTTGTTCACAGCTCATAAAC